GCTCCCGTACATTTTGAGCACTTTTACTATTGATCGTACATGTACGAGGGCTGAAGTTACCATACAGAGACAACACCGGCTTCGCTCAGGCGGCACGAGCGGCTGCGCGGGGCGGGAACCGACCCGGCCCCCCGAAGCCGGGGCCCAGGCAGCCCCGCGCGGGGCCGAGCCTAGCACCCCGGCCACAGCCAGGCTCCGGGAGGGGGGCAGCTTGGTACCTGCTCTGCCCCGGCTCCTCGTCGCTAGGCTCCTCGATTACGTAGGGGTCGTCATCCTCCTGCAAGCGGCTCATGACGGCGGCCACGCTCCGCGCACCCCCAGGTGCAGCAGCGAACTCAACCACCCACTGCCCCCGAGCCACCCGGAAGCACTCCCGGTGCACTTCCGCTTCCGGCAGGCGCCTGCCGGGTTCTCGGTGCGCGGTGCCTGGCGGGAGGAAGTCGACGCTGCGGAAGCAGGGTCGGGCCCGCCCCCCGCAGAGGCAGCGGGGGGGGAGGGTGCGGCTCGTCCTCCCTCCCGCCGGAGGCGCCAACCCGTGACGTCAGCGATCACCGTCACAAATGCAGCAGCAAGTCATAGAGCTGCCGTTTCCCTCCCCCTTTGCCCACATGCGAGGTCAGTGACGTTTAAACATGGTTCGCAAGAGGGGCCCTCCTCTCTTCTGAACCCGCTGGCCTCCTTCCTTGCTCCGGGCCGGCTCCGTAGGGGGGGCGGTCAGTGGTCCGTATAGCAACACGGTAGCCCTGGCCGGGGTAGTTCACGGAGCAGACAAAGAGGAGTACACAGCAGAGAAATACAGGGCAAAAAAAGACTTAAGAGTTCAAATGAGACGTGCAAAACAGCCCATCAACAAAAGGATGCACAGGCTACATGGTCTTAACTCTTCCTTATGACTGCCTCACTGGATTTTTCAGGACAGGGTGGGACCAAGAGGAGAGGCCTCATTTCTACCACTTCTCTTCTCCTTGCCCCCCTAGAATCTGGAATTAAACATGCCTTTCTTGTAGAAAGACAATCACATGCAAAATAGTATTTGAATACAAGCACTTCCAACAAAAAGGCAAAGAACCAAGACATGTCAAAATTTGGGTGAGAAATGGCATGGTATGAATCTAGGGAGAAGCATAATCAGCTTAGTCCACTGTCCTTGTTCATTTAGAGAATAAATAGCAAGAGTGTTGATCAATATAACTAGATATATTAGGAATACTATTAAAACTATTAACAGATGATACAATCTCTGCGTAATCTTAGAAAAATCATGGATTTCACAGTTTATTTTACAATAATTGGGATTAGTCTACAAGTTAAGGCAAACATACTAATGCATTTGCTTTTCTTTTTAGATCATAGTTATAAAGATTACATAAAGTTTCCTCCAAAATCTCTAGGAAATGGTTAATTGAAAAAAAAAAAATCAAGTTGTAAGAGACTTGATATCAGTACATGGAAAAACTAAGACAATGTATACAATGTTTTATAGTAAGAATATTCAAATATCTAATGGCAATATTTAATCCATCTGAGCAGTGTAATTCAAATGGACAACTTTAGAAGTTACTTACAATGGTAAATAAGATTGGCAGCCATACCATAATACTATTCATAACATGAACATAATTATATTGGCTACTTTCACAAAAAACAGAACATTTGGTTTTTGAACAATGAAAGCATACAATGATTAAATAAACATATGTGCGAATATGCGCGTATAATAAGTATGCTGTTGCTTCATATAGTCTGGAACTGCTTTCAGGTGGCTTCAGTTGTTTTGCTTTACTTGGTTTTTGTTTGTTTGTTTGTTTTTAAAAGAAGAGGAGCTTGTTTATGTGCACTTGGTCAACTGATTTCTCCAGTGAGCTGTAAATAGCTATCTGAAGTCATGAAAACAAAATCCAGGAGGGCAGCCCTTGTTAGAGGAGGGATGGATAATTATTTATGTATCTCCATTTAACACTGCCAAGCAGCTCTGCAACAGCTGTAAGTTGCCCTGTAGAAATAAAGAAAACTGTGACAATTTCCAAGTTTTACTCTGGTAAAAAAAAAGTGTTTAAATACAGTTGCAATTTGTCACTCATGAGCAGGGATCCTGGTTTTCTCTGATTAAAGACTGAAAATTCTCCGATTAAAAACCCCAAATCCATGATAAAAATTAAAAGCCCCCTCCCCCACAAGCACTGCTGGTGCCGCCCCACACTCCCCCCCAGTCTCAACAGCCCTCCTGATGTCCCTCGCAACAGCCCTCCAGACATGCAGACACTGACAC